GTTTAGCAACAACTCCAGTCTACAGATCCTCTTCTCTTCAAGGTGAGTTCTGGTGATTTATAAAGAATCAGAGACAGAAGGAAAGGGTTCCATGGCTCCAACAGAGCCAGACTCTCTGACCATCCACACAGTCCAGGTCTCCAGTAAGCAAGAACCTGAGATCCCTGCACCTCCTCAGTCCAGACTCTGTGGAAATATAATCTTTTGTGAGGAGTAGGCTAGGGGAATTAATCTTCTTGGGGGTGAAAGATATTAAGAGTCAAGGTCAGAAGCAGATGGGGTGGCCAACATCCCCCATCCCAAAGCTGGCTTAGAAGCCGAAGGCCCCCACATACAGGAAGCACTCTTCTGGGTTACTTCCCCAGGAAACATAGTGCAGTGGCTACAATTCTCAGTCCACCAGGCCTGTCCTGTAGAGGCAGCAGAAATTTTTGTCTCTACCCCTCAAAGCATACATTCTTCAAAGAAGGAATCCTGAACTCTGTAGCCTGTTGGCCACTCAGATGCTCAAAACCCCTCCGATCAGGAATTCCTGGCCAGAGCTAAATAGGGATCTCTCTCGGCCCTCTAAGCTTCTACCTCTCCCAGCCTGGCCAAGCCAGCCTGCTCTGGGCTCTTCGGCAAACAGCCATGGCCCTCAACAGCCATTTCCACAGTTAAGAATCCCTTCTCTCTTCCAGGCCACAGTGGTTCACTAAATAAACAGCAGAGGGAGCCCTGAGCCCAACTCTGGAAAAGGACTGGCTGGGAGCATCTGGTGCCTGGGAAAGCTACAGAAATCTTGCCTGGAACTCACTCTCTCGGAAGGGCAGTGCTATGGTGCAGGGAGTGGATTCAGACCCATTTAGGAGACTAAGTAAGAAAGATAGACATATGACTCTGATTCTCAGGTGGCAACAAGGTGCCAGGAAAGGTTTTGACTCTCTATAAGCAGCCTACAAGCCCAGGAAACAGTTCAAGTCTTCAGCAAGCCAGCAAGTACATAAGGTTTCCAGGTTCCTGGTTCAGGTTCAGGCCAGCTCACCCACCACTTCCAGCCCCGTGAGTGTCATGACAGTGAGATGGGCTCCACAGTCTAATTTTAATGACATGGCAACCCAGAATGAGGCAAGGTTAGTATACAAAGCAAGGAGGTGACAAGACTGGAACTGACTCCAGACTGCAGGCACAGCACAAACAGCATGTGACTAGCCCCCCAGAAGCGGGAATGAATGGAGGTTTCAGAGAAGTGAGGCAGGATGCAGATGGGGTTTGAGGAAGTTGGAGACAGTGCCCAAGTAAGGGAGGAGTGGTGAAGGGTGATCCTCAGGGCTTCCTTGCCTGCTGGGCAGGACTGAGCTAGACAGACAAAACACTTCGGGGGTCCATGGGCATCGGTAGGTGGAGCAGGAGTTGGGTAGAAGACAAGGGAAAATATGCAGTACAGTAATTGATTAACTAAGCTAATTTAAAACCAAGGGAAAGGTGAATGAGAATTGTGGAATGGGAATGAGGAAGTGGGAAGGGGTCTTCCAGGAAGCGAAAGGGGGTAGCTCAAGCTTTTGGGAAGTACAGAGTGCTGTGGGTGGCTAAAGGGAAAAGGCAGGACCGGAGCAGCTGTTGGGAGGCACCACTGTGAACAGCCACCGCCAAGCCTGGACTTAGGGGTGTGTGGCAGAGGGGGGACCCTGAGAATCAGAGACACATCTTATCTCTTTGGTAGTAGAGTCTGGAGTTGGGTCAGAATCCAACGAGCCAAGGCAATGAGACACAAAGGGCAGGCAGAAGATGGGCCTAGGCCACTGACAGAGGGGAGTGGGGCACATTGGGGTGGGGTTGCAAGAACAGCAGCAGGGCCTAGTAGAAAAAAGAGATCAAGAGACTAAGTAGGTAGCCAGGCCAGATTCTTCCAGCCACTGGCCCCACTCCAGGCCAAACCAGCTCAGCCTAGTAGGGGACACAACCCTCTGTCTCTCCACCAGCCAGGCCTAGATAAGAGTCGAATGCTCTGTTGGTTCTGAGTGGTTCCCTATATATTTAGTCCAAGACCACACACACACACACACACACACACACACACACACCTCTGACATATAGAATGTGCCTACTGAATACCTACTGTGTCAGCTTCCACACCCTGATCCTTCCATAGGTGCAAGGAAGACTTCAGGGGCCACCATGACATCCCCCCTCTCACCACTTACTTTGCTT